ATATATCTATATGAACACAGCGACATAAACTGTAAATCCATTATTGAAATTACCAATCTGATATTTAGGTAGTAAATCATCGTTCTCAATCATTAAACATATTACACCAGCAATTTTATAGAAATCAAGGCAAATACTCGTTGACGTTCAAAACACACGCACCGTGATTAATGGGTCCGTACATTGAACCAACGTCGAGTGGGTGGGGAGAGGCTGTCGCCCACACGCGTTTTTGTGCTTGCTCTGCTAAAATTTCTTGCGGCTGTACTTTGAAGGAATCACTCAAGTATATGATGTGATGTTGATGTGCTAATTACTGAGATGCAGTATACCTCATGAGAGCTAGGGCGTGTCTGGTTACGGGGCGGGTGGCGCGGGCGGTCCGGTCCGCCCACCGTCACTTCCGCTTCCGTATGCCCATGAACCCTATAATTCTCTGACTGGAACTAAGAGACCTCAAGGTATATACGTACGTTGCTTATAAACATTGAGCGGTTATTTCAAAGACAAATGACTGCGGACTTACACAACAGCGGATAACTGTCGTGTCCCACTTCGATACTCGTTTCTACTCCAAGAATTAAAAGTCAGGTTGTTTTGATTGCAGTTTAAAATCACCAGTATTGTTGCACATCGCCGTATAACAGTCATTCAGCTACCTGCTAGTTAGGTAATCCAAGATTATATCTAATTTATCAAGGAATCGAACTGTTGCGTAAGTCATAAACGTAACGTTCGCTTAAATATTCAAATAGTTCAGTACGCTGTTGAACGGAAATGTGTGATTGTACTTGCATATTCATTGGTATTTGCTCGTAGGACTACTTATGTGATCAGGTATAGATACGGAAGCTTAACCGTCAGTGTTGACATCAGAGAGGGATTAACGTTTTAAATAAATTTGAATGTGTTGGCAATGGCATGTGTTGTTGGTTGATCTGTGATCTAATGAACCTTTGAAGGTTTGTGTCCAGTAAGGAATGGGACAAGGCTTAATGTTGGTACTTTAATAAATAAGAAATTGATATACTTGGAAAATTAGCGATAGCGTCAGTGTACAATGACCTCGTATATTTATACTACTTTACTTGGAACACCTGTGGCTTAGTAGGTGGGAAGTGCGAATGTTTTGCAAACAGGTGCTAGCATAACAGTTTTATTCATGGACAGGTAGGAAGTAGATGATTTATATAGATTTGAATTACGCGCTAGATAGCAATGTTAGGTACCTGTTGCTGGTCAGAAATATGAATTGTCATCATTTCAACGGGTAATCATTAATTACAGGAGTCGATTTTTAAGAGTAAGGTTTTATCACTTTCGAAATAATGTTGATTTGGAAACTTAGTTAGACCTTGTGCTTGTTAGATTTCCGAAAATCGAGTCCTATGCTAACTCTATTTAATGTGAAGTGGAAAATTTCTAGCAGATGCAGGTATGGAACTGCAAGCTATATACTTCACATCATATGTTTTTCCTATAGACATGGGCGTAGTCGGGATTTAGGAGGAGGGGGGAGGAGCAAAATATATAATCATGCTAAATACAATACTATACATACAATTCTAAATGTAACACCTAGAAGCTATATTATTTACATAGTATTTGCCGAGATTTCCTATACAAGTAATATGATTGTTGGCAACGTAAGAGGTTGGTTTACATTCATGTTTCTTCTGGAGACGATCTGAATGCATTAGCGTATTCTGTTAAACATCCTTTAATATTAGATATGTCTGCATAATGAATGTGGTTGTCTTCGTGGGAGCCAAATATTTTGATACGATCGTTTGATGGCGGTCAATAGTGTGTATAATGAATGTAGATGTTGTTTCAGAAACAGTTGCATGTTGATACAATACACCTACCTACATTCTATAAGCACTAAATTGAGTTCAGATCTGACCAGTCCACGATATGGAATAAGAATAGTAGCCTATGAAAGCACTGCAGTGTAGAATCAAAGGATCCTCCGTAGCAACGCCTGTGCCCCCATCTAGCTTCCCCTCGATAATGGACCAGATTTCTAACCCAATAATTCCCGAACAAATTGCTTCCTCTGATATCTTTACTGCTTTGAAGAAATAAAATGTGGGTATCTAATCATGTTTGTTTGTTGTCGAATATGCGATAGGTATTAGCGACTAGTAATTTGAATGATTTATTTGTGGTTTATTGAGAAAAATAGAAATTCTTGTATGTAGATTTGTTCGGGTTTTTATATGATTGATTTGTACAAGTTCTTATGGTAATGTGGTGTGTCTAAAGTTATTAATCTTGATTGTGTTTCCGTTAGAGGTTTTGGGTTGGTCGCTTGCTTAGCGTTTCTGTGAAAATATAGATTTTTTTTTTTGCTAAATTTTGGTCCATCACGCTACTTGTCCTTCGTGATTGATTAGGTAGGTATGTACCTATTTTCGTTAAGTAGGTACCTAGATACCTAAAGTAAATAATAAGTGATTTTATTAAGTCGTCTAGTTGTACCAAGAACAATTTTACTATCACGATTCAGCAGCTAAATATTTCTTTTATTTGATAATTTCGACTTTCTTATTCGGCATGTGAAATGACTTATTATTTGACTGCGTACCTACTTAGTGGCACACTTGCCTGAACCGAACAATAAACCGAAAACAATGAACGCCGATGATTTCATCAACACAATTCATCGACTAATTAAAGTCGTTGTACGCAAACAGCATCACGTCACTCTGCTACCGCATGCCGCGCCACGCCGACGAGGTACACCCATAATAGATTTTAACACATTTACTAACGACGTAAATACAAAACCGCAACAAAGCTATTATGGTCCTTATGTCTTCATATCATGGTTTAATATACAATGGTAATTGAAAAGAAAACTGCGTACTTGCGTATGCGTGTTTGACTTCTATTTGTATACAAGTTTAAGCTTTATGTTATTTAATTTTAGGTCTGAAGTTGGCCGCTAAGTAGTGAAATAATTAAGCCAAAGACACACGCTCTCTCGGGGCGGTTGCTCATTCGTGCATAATGGACGCGAGCAAAACGACGCGACTGACGACGCTTGACAAAACGTGGTTCGACTTTCACTCTCACTGCAAACCAGTCTAAACCTATAAATAATGGGGTCGCTATATCCGCAGGCGTAGAAATTTGGGAATATAAGTACCTAGTCATTAGTCAGCTTCTATTAGACATCTTTATTAATGCCACTTTACACTTTACTTATAACATAATGACATTGGTAGAAGGATTAGTTACATAGATCATTTCTTTTTACATACTTCATTACCTATATTTTTTTATTAGATAAGTGGTGAAATGCAAGTCAGACTATTTACGGAGAAACAGAATTATATTTCGTACACGAGAGTAAAAAAATAATAATAGCAAAAATATGTTAAGTATTCAAATGACTCCCGCAAAAATTATGATCGAGTAAGTACAGCTCACCATATAGGTACTATCGTATGAAAACGAATTCCTCCAATAACCATACAATGGCTGAACTCGATCCAACACTGATAAGAGTTTCTCAGACACGAGTGTGTTGTAATCTAGTATACAAGGGAGTCAAATGAACAAAGAATCGTAAGTGCAACGGCGTATGCTTATCGTTTGTTTACAGGCCACGTCTTGTTAGACGATGCGGCTGGCGCGCCGACCGGCACGACATGTGTGCATTTTTTGCCCGCCCAAGGAGGCCGCGGGCGCGAGGTTATACACCCATTATTACGTCCTTCCTACTTTCAATTATTATTATCGGGCGGCGGCGCCGCACCCGCGACGGGGAGGAGGAGAGAGGCGCAGCTGCTGCCTACCAATAATCAAGACCTGTCTCGGTTAGAGCGAGATGGAGATAACCGCGAATAAGTCAAAATTTTAACTTTTCCTTAATATTATTCAACCATCTGCTGATTGTTGCAGTCAAAACAGTACTTAATCTATTATAAAACAGCAGAAGCCACTTGTGAATCCTTAAGTATGTCGGAAATTTGATTAAAAAGTATAAAAACTGTAGAAATCCGAACGCGATGGGAGGCGGATCTCCGAAAATTGCCGAGCGTACTCGACGCGGCTTGCCAGTTCGCTCGCCGCAGTTTGGCGGCCGGTCGTGAGGATGGTGCTTTCTGTGCGTGAACAAAGAGAAATAATTGTTAGCAAGTGTAAAGTAGATGATGTCGTCTGAGTCCACAAAAGTGAAGGTGGAATACGTAAACGAGGACAAAACAAGCAAGGTAAAGAGTGTAAAGTGAAAGGATGCAGTGTTATTGTGTAACAGATCGGACGCCAGCGGGCAGCGGTCTCGTGTCGGTCGGTGCAGGGGGAGGGCGGGGCGAGTGCGGCCCCGGCCGTGTGGGGCCCGCCAGGCCACACGCAGGAGGTTGTGACCGTGTTGCTAGCAACTCCCTTGCCGAAATAGCACCAGCGTCCTCCTCCAGTTCCTCAAACTTTCAAACGATTGTCAATTCAAAGATTACAATTGTTACATGCAATATTCACTTAAATAATTATAAGCTATTGTTAAAAAAAGCTCAATGTACGGTGTTTCGAGAAGTTTATATTGGTAGCCATTTTAAATTGAATGAGTTATATTTGTTTGATCAGTATTCAGTATGAGCAGTAAAAAGAAACTCTTGTACACACCTAAAATTAACATGTTTGATACGTTACTACGATAGCCTACTTAGCAGCTGCATAAAAATCAGTCACGCGATTTGAGGTGGGTGGATCAAAGGGCGGCGGCGGCCTTGCCTGCGACGACTCCCGGCACTTGTTAGGAAAAGGCGTGTCGACTCACAACTATTACGATATATAAACTTTGCGAACTGTTGCAGCGTTTAACTTTACGTGTTATACACGTGGTAGAAACTTTCTCCGAAACAGTTGCAATGTCTTGAATTCTCGGTATGAAAGTTTTTTGTAAATTTTTAGTAATTATAATTTGCCTCGGAATCGAATTACATATTTGATAGGTACCTACGCGAAAAGTTGAAAAATGAATGAACATTAAAAAAAATTGTCTATGATATATTTTTTAATCGTTCCCAAAATACGATATCATTCAGTCATGAAAAATTTGACAGTTGCCAAAATAATCTAAACAAAAATGGAGCTTTTATTTTTGTAAATATATTTAGGTATAAGTTTTAAATGTGATGTTGGCATCATCTTTATTAGAGGTGAGCTATTCATCTTAAAAATGTTTCTTAGTTTACAACACTTTATTTGAATCATCTACACGTAAAATGTTGTCATTTAAAAAGGGTTCGATTCGCGTCGATGCTTCCTTTGAGCGTGATATAATGGGCCGGTGCCGAGGGCGCTTCGAGTAACATTTTCCCCCTTTTTATTTAGTAGTCGGCTGCTTTGTGCGCAATGCGAGCGACTTTCATAAATGATATAACTTCTATGGATAGCTACCTATATAATTTTTGCCATTTTCTATATCTACAAGGACGAAAGATACACATAATAAACCAACACATACTTTAATTATTAAAAAAAACGCTATCATTAAAAATGTTATTACAAAGAAAGGGTACCAAATTTTGCTCCAAATTAATAATAAAATCATAAAAATGTAAAATATTTTTATGGTATGGAGAGTACAATTTTTAGGAAAATTGTTTTTATCCCTCCCAGATTAGTCACAATATAATCTACAAAATACTCCAAAGAAAGTTGACAATATCTTGAATATCACTTGAAAGTACAAGTAGGTGCCGAAACATGATATTAAACTGATAATGTATGTCTGATTAAGTAAGAAATTGTAGAAAACAAAACTGAATAAGTAATATCAAAACTTTTAGGACTTAATAAAATTGCCTTTTTGTACTTACTGTCCTTTGTATAAGTTTCAAATTGGCATACACAATACACATACCAAAAACTTACAAACTCTCCTAATGCTAATGATTCTCATGTTCATTATCATTAAGCCACAATTCTTTGAATTAACAGTACCTATTTTTATAAACATCCACACTTTGAATACTTAATCTTCATATTTTTTTTGACATACAAAAGTATTTGAAAGGCAATAACTTCTATTGTTATACTCACGAGTCTGTAAATAAATAAATGTTTTTATGCAAATTAAGATTCATGCTACAATCTACAAGGCTAAGCAATGCCATATGTTAAACATGTTTACTGCCTCAGTGTTGGCGACTAAGTCTTAATTATAGTAATATATCACAGGTTATATCTGTGACTGATTTTTCAAGTTAGAGAGAAGTAGGTACAGTCAGTAAGATATTTTTTAAACATTTTAAGGATTGTATTTGGTTGAGCGCAGATGGTTATGGTAAATGAGGCAATTAGTCGGAATCAATAAAATAAATATCATATGTAATGCTATAAAAATATGTGTTAGTCTTGCCTTTTTTGAATACTTTTGTATAGATTTCTGTTGCTATGACCAAGGATAAAGTCAATGTAGAGTATTGCAAGAGATTTTTTTTGATTGCAGGAAAGCAACGGGACGCAGTCGCCGCTAGCACTCCTGGCGGCGACGTGCAGCCGGCTTGGCGCCGCCACCATGGGTCCCGAGCAGCAACAGGATAGCAAGGACCAACAACAACATTTCAGTAAGTCTTAAGTCATTTCTCAGTTAAAGTTCTCATATGCATAGATATTAATGGTAAAAAATTATAAGGAAATAGTGCAAACACTAAGAAAACAGGCTGCAAAATTACTGTATTTAATACCAATCAAAGAATAGTATACCTAACATTTCAAATTCATACGAAAACAGTTCTTTGTTTATAGTTACAAAATATAATTCCAGGTCCACAACAACAGCAGCAGGCACAGCAACAACAGGCGCAGCAACAACAAGCGCAACAGCAACAAGCGCAACAGCAGCAAGCGCAACAACAAGCACAGCAACAGGCGCAACTAATACAGCAACAAGTGCAAGGCGACGCTGCCACACTAGCCGCCATACAGCAACAGTACCTGCAACAGCAACAGCAGCAACAACAGCAACAACCACAGCTGAGGGTGATTAGTTCTGCTGTAGTTCAGCAGTTAAGGGCACAAGGATTATCAGTGAGTTTTGTGTAACAGAGCTAACAGACTCTAAATCTATCTTGCCAAAAACTAAGGCATCATCTCAATCATCATTTTCTTCCTTTTACTCATCCTTTCTCAACTCGGTTCTAGTGTTTTTTGAGTTTCAACCAGATTCAACTGAATCTAAGTATTTTAATGGATATTATTTCTTTCACAACTTGCCATCCTGGCCATCAGTATTTTCATTTTTCATTCTTTATAATTTCATCTTCCCTTAAGAATGTCTGCAAATATCTTACTTTAGGGAATTCATTTTATTTCATTCTCTCATCATTCTTCCTATAGATAGGTAGGATTGTAGGCACAAGTCATATTTTAATAAAAATTGTTTTTTTTTAGGGCAATGAATTATCAGCGGCCATAGTCAATGCAGCAAACTCTGTTCCAAATGGAATACAAGTGCAACAACCACAGGTAATTACAGAATTAGTTTGTTTTGTAAAAATAAAATTCATGACAAAATTTTAACTTTAATTTACCATATTAATATACATATTTTTAACAGTTTTCAATTAGTTTTGACATAATTTCCTCATATTTAACAATTGCTATAACAATTTATTTTTTAATTATTATTTATAGGTTGATCTGTAATCAATAAGCATAGAGTTATAGGACTAATGAATCTGTAAGCAGACATAAAAACACACAAATGGATAGTTAATAAGAGGAAAATCAAAGATATTCCTCTAATTGTTATCGAAATTGCTTTTAAAATTGTGTTATCCTTATATTTTGAAGTTGTGAATATTATTTTGATGCATTGCACGCATTTGCATTTTACTATAAATTATAGACTTTTGGCCATTATCAGTACACATCAACATTCCCCTCCAACAATCTTCAAACATGCTTGACAAGCTGTTTGGAGAATTCTGCTGCTCTATTTGTGTTATATATGGGATTATCATTACAAATATGTCGTAAACTTTGATAATAATGTTACTTGTTTGACACATGGTATTTTCGAGAGAGAAAGATATAGAAAAAACTATATCCAGACACAGGAAGCTTACCGCTATTTCTCTCCAAAGAAAAACAAATTGGCACATTCGCATTTATAAAAACAAGTGGTATTTAGAGTACGGATTTTGTTAGGATTGGGATAAATTGAGACATATATATTCATATTAAAGTTGAATAATTTGACAGTATTGTAATTTTTTTGCAGGTGATATCAATGCAACAGCTTCAGTCGTTACTGGGGGGCGGTGTTGTCTCTGGAGAGGGGGCCTCATACCAGAACACGCCGCAGCAACTGCTACAAATACATCCACAGCTTTTACAAGTATGTATACTTCTTTGACTGGAACAGACATATCTACTGGTAGAACAGATGTATGAAAGTATTTAGTAAAGTGGAAGTCGCTATTCTGCTACTTTTTGCTGAGTACCTGGTGGTAAGCCATCAGCGTCACCCATGGACACCCGCAACAACAAAGCAGTTACAATTGCGTTGCCGATCTTTTGTGGATTAAGGATTTGGGGATTTAAGGATTGGGGGAGGAAAACGACTGGGCCTCCGGTAACTTCATTCACACGGCTAAGCACAACGCTGTGGTTGTTTCACGCTGGTTTCATGTGAGGCCGTGGTATCACTCCGGTCGCGACGACCCCTTCGTGCCGAAGCATGGCTCTCCCACACTTATATTATAAACGCGAATGTTTGTATGGATGGATGACTATTTAAAAATATTTCTAAGGTTTAGTTCAATAGTCTTGTAATGTTTGTTGCAGCAACAAGGCATGTACGGAGGATGTTTAGTGGGCGGTGTCGGCGGAGTGGGTGGAGTTGCCCCTATGCAGGCTGTCACCGTCGACGGACAGGATGCACTGTTTATACCCGCGCAACATGCCCAGGTAATTCATCAACTTCACACTCTTACTCAGAGTTAATTGTGGTCAGAATAAAGTGATAGGCATAATGACTCAGTCAAAAAAAAAAAAAAGATTTCTCTAGTAACTCTATTAAAGTATCCTAAAAACGATACTCTCATTCTTCTCTTTAATGGCTAGGTTTAGTTTGAAGCGTGATTTTGGTATCTACTTTTGTGCCAAATCTAAGTGAAATATGTATTATAATTGACAGAATTTTTTATAATGTCACACATTTTAATCTTTTAAAAATCCATAGATCATATCAAATCGTCATCAACCCCATCTTTTAATATTTGTTTAGAAACATACCACTTTAAAATACTCATGTTATTCTTTCAGAACTTCTCTGGGATGGGTCAAGTCAGTCTTGTTAACGGACAACTTGTAAGAACGCCAGTCCTTCCTGCGGGCTTCTTGCAAAACGTGATGCATTTACCAGCTGGTATGTATATACACTTGTATATATTTTTAGTGATAAAAACTTCAATGATTGTGGAAAATGAATAGTGAGAATAAGACAAATGGATCCCTTTATTGCAGTTATATTTCTAGCATTTCTTACAACATTTCAAAGACTTGAAATGTTATGAAAATGCTAGAAAAGTAACAAAATAATAAAATGTGAGGATTATTTTTTGTACCAATATTCATTTCCTGCTTCACATAATATGTATGATGAGAGGAAAACTCTTCAATTTATTTTAATGTTAGGTTTGTAGGCAAACTAAATCCACTAGGTTTTTCATAAGCTTTGGTCACACTAAACCTCACAGTCAGCTTCGGGATTGCTTTGGGAATAATTTTCCATTCAACGGCTTTGCTTTCCAACTAAAATATTCATGATGTTTCTGAATACCAAAATATATATTTCACTTCATATTCACCTGGTAGTTCTTCAGTAGACTAGATGTGACAATAAAAAATAATAAAACAATTAAAGTAAACAATGCATGTGTGTCAATGAAATGATCTGTCTTAGTTGATGTTAAAATTAGATATTTACTTTCAAATTACATTTACTATTATTTTGGCTGTCTTAAAATTATAATTTACATTTTAGCATCAAACAATTTGTTGTGTTTACCATTTAGAAGTATCAGACTCGTATAAAACATTGACAAACAATGTTGGGTACTGACTTTGTGCAAGACATCACAACTAGTCACCACCATCGCATGTTCTATGCTTCTAACGTACTACTGTCATACTAATCTGTGTTTTTCCGCCCTCCCCCCCCTCACCCGCTAACAGAGCAGCAGGCGACCATCACGATCCCGGGCACTAACCTATCCATTCCCATTAGCGCTTTCGCCGGGAACCAACCAATGATAGTCCCTGGCTCCAATATATCGCTGGCGGGGCTTCAGGCAAACCAAGCGATTACAATCCCGACAAGTCAAGCGATATCCATTCCTACGAGTCAGGCGATATCCATCCCGTGTAGTTCGGCGGCCGTCACTCCTGGGGACAAGCAAACCAACGGGAAAGACACGAAGGCACCCGGCAGCCCCAACGGACAAGGTTGGTGCCTCGGTCACCTGTGGACATTTTTCAGCACTTTGGCTCGCGATGTGTATGTTACGGGTAAACAATGGCATTTAATGTATTGAAACGGAAATGAGGGATTAATCTTAATAATCTTTCTAAATCTCTACTTTAATTCTCGATTGATTTGATAAGTAAATGTTTATATTTTGTTTCGTTACTGCTACTTGTTCGGTTCGAATGTTTATCCGTAACATACACAATTTATAGTAAAGTGACGCTTGGTAAGTATTTTCTTCGTAAACTTGTAAAAATCACAGTACAAATTCTTCAAAGTACTGTGTTTAAAAACGATTATTCCATACATCATCCTGTTACTATTACTTCAACTCCCTAGCTTTTTTCACTTAATTTGCTTCTTGTGTTTTAATTTATCATGCACTCTCGCTATCATTAGATCACATATTAACAATAACAGTGTAATTTGTATGTTTAGATTCGTGTCAGTGGTAGAAATGATTGGATAGCACCCTTAGAACACTTTACAGGGTGTTCCTTTGTGTTATAAATCCCTATATTAGGGGATTTCATTGTATTGAATATGTCGACATCAAACTAGTATTATGAAGACAAGAATAAAAAAGATTGAATTTACATATTTTTTATTTATCACGCTAAATGTTTAGTTTTTTTAATTATTTTGTTTTTTCTTGATTAAAACTTAATAAGGTCAATTATGTATTTTTAGGTTTAATGCCTTAAATTTAATACCATAGCTCATAGTATGCACTGGTCACAGTTAGATGAGCTTTGTTTTAAGACTGCACTTGTTTTATTTGAGATACTATTTATTATTTGAGCTAACAAAATGTTAGGTTCATAGGTTTAAAAAAAACTCTGATTTAATGCGAAATATCTTTAATAAATGGGGCTTTGTAAATAATAATAAATACGTCTTTCTATTTATATTCCGTATATTATGTCGGTATTATCAATTTTTATGAATGACATTGTACTTAGTCATATTTTGTATTAAAAGTAGGAGTCAAAAGTTGATGCTTTCTGATGTTGCCTCTTCAATACCTACTTGGCGTATTTGTGCAAAGATTTAAATCGTTATAAAACATTAATTTTAATTCTTCCCTCCATCTATTTTTTTTTTGTAAGCACTTATCTATATAATTAAAAAAAGTTCGAATTGTCATGTTATTTGTTTTTTTGGCTTTATGGAGAACTAAATATTTGTACAAATACGCTTAATATGGTAAGAGATATTTCTAGTTTCCTGGTGAGATACAAATGCTCGCGTTAAAATGATTCTAATTTTGCCTGTTCCTCGTAACAGTAACTTAGATAAAAAGAATATAAAACATTTTTGACTATTCTTCCAAGATAAATCCTAATAACAATCTAACATTTCCTAATGGCAACTTGCAATTTTACTTATTGCATTACAATGTTCTTTAATTAAATCAAACTTCAATCTTATGCAATAAATATGCCACTTTAATCTCATATTAGAAGTTTTAATCAAATGTATCTTATATGGCTGTGATGTAACTACGCATTTGTCTTTCACCAGGAACAATATTTGAAGCAATTATGAAATGGATATATGATAAATATTTCGTATCCAAATAGGCGCAGGCGGCGGTATCGCGGTTCGTGGCGGGGTGGGCGGTATGGGCATGGTCCCCGTGCAGGTCCCAGTGAGCGTGGCCAACGGTCACACGGTGTACCAAACCGTTCATCTACCCGTACATGCACCGCAACACTTGCAAATCATTCCTCAGTTACAACAGGTACTGTGACAAGTTTTGAAATGAGGTTTATCGTTTTTTCACAATAGATGGCGCTAGTGTGTCACGTCTCTTCGACCAATAGAGATTTAGCTAGTGTCACACCATTGGTTGTCCAAATTTTGATAGCCATATTGATTGGATAAACTAAGTTATTGCAATCTAATTAATGCCATCTGTTGAGCAAAAAAAACTTCCTTTTTATGTGTTCAATTGTCATTCTATCAGGTTATGAGAATGCCAGAACAGAATATTTAACTTTTTAATACCAGTAAAGGTAGCAGAGCCACAGATTCATTTAATGTAGTACATATTTTGTTTGTCTTATTGAGTCCCATGTCCCATGAAAATGCTTAAGCCATGCCATATGTGGGCTCAGTTTTAATCAGCATGATGAGAAAAAAGTATTTTTACAGAAGAACTCCGTAGGTAATTTATTTCTTACCACAGTCAAAACAAAATGAATAGATAATTGTTTTATTATTCACATATTTTACATTTCATAGTTCTTAGCAGATTATAGGACGTTAATTTTTTACGGCCCAATGTCATAAATAACCTAGGTATAGGACCTTGTTAGTTATTTAAATGTTTCTTCCCACAGATGCAAGCACAGCCACAAATGGCTAGTGTACTTACACCTTCGGGGCAGATACAACAGATACAAATTGCGTCCTTAGCTAATGTGCAGGTAAAACTAAATTTTGATTCTGGAAATTTCCCCAAAAGCATTCTTTTACTCGTTGTTTTTTTAACATTGGTAATTCTGGAAGAGCCATGCTTTGGCAAGAATAGATCTGCTCGACCGCCTCACAGTAAACCGGCGCAAAACAACTCTGTTTCGCTGTCTGAGTGAGGGTACCGGACACCCAATATTTCCATCTTCCGCCCCTAGTCCACAAATCCTGTTTGACACACCTGTGTTTCCTGGGTTCTGTGAGTGTCAATAAATGGCACTTATTGCTTATCATCAGTGCTGAACTATCCCATACAAAATGACCAGTAAATTGTAATTAGATAACATCCTTAGGTACTGTCTCTTTCACTCTTATACGTGCTTTTACTTCTATAAAAGCTTTGTCTGTTCTATAGGACCAAATTTTATTTAATCAGATCTTATAAATTCAGAATTCTCATTCACCTACCTAACCCCTAAACCTACCTGCATAATGAAAATAGTTTATAATAAAAAAATATGTATTATCGAAATAGTGTATAATACTATAGATAATAAGGATGGAACTGCTGTAAATATAAGCTGGGTATTGGTTTGGTAGCAGGGAGGGGGCGCGCAAGGCGGCGGGGCGGCTGGCCAGGCCCCTGCGACTATTACATTACAGGTAAGAAGTAGTTCTAAGTATACTGCTACAACAAGCTGCTTGCAAATGCAATGTGTCAGACTACTTTAATAGATTTTAAATTTTATTTTTCCTGTAATAGAGTTGAAATCTAGAAAATTCAAATGCTGCTGGCTTGCGTACGACATCTGTAACATAATTTTTGTAAGGAATTTGCGAACCCTTATTTTTTCCCTTTGATGTCGGAGTTTGTTTGAGATGTTTGCGTTTGACATTTCAGCTATTTTTTTTTAAGTAATAAATACACTGACAGGTTTAAGCCTTATGTAGTCCTCCATAGATTTTTAGTATGGTTTTGGATTTTTAGATTGTATCAGGTTACCTGTATTTCGATGTCGGTTCATATGCTCGAAAAATCTATAATATTCTAAAAATATGGGCTGTCCTTTGACTTCTTTGACCTTGTATAATGACAACTTTTCACACATCTAAACAAAATCTGCTGCTTGTTTTCAACTGATATTTGTTCTTTCTGTAAATATTTTATTTGTGAAAAAGAGATGGCGCTGTAGGCTGTGTTAGTATCGTCCTGTCGCCCTGCAATGATTGCAATGAAACGTCATATTACCTGCAGGCCCCGTTATTGATTGACCTAATTCTGATTTAGTGTCGAAGGACTATCAAGGGAAAGGCAGTGCTGAAAATTTCATAACCGTTGACGAGATAGATAAAGATTGTTAAGTAATTTAGTGCTTATATTTAGGTCCTAATTGTTCAGAAGACTAACTGATTACGTCGCCTCGGGTTCATTCGCAATATTTTGACGCTCGCAAGGCCATTATGTCCATCTCCCGCCTTTCACAGCTGTTGTGATATGGATAGATTTCAGTTAAAATTTCGCGAATTTCTACGACGTGAACTCTTCGATAATGTATGTATATGTAAATAATGTTTTTCCTTCTATTTAACAATATAATTGTCCTTTATTTATCTATTATAATAATATTCTAACTTTTATTTCCACTTTTTATAAATATTTCATTAAACTTCGTTTAAATTTTGGCGCTATAAAATTGTAGCCTGATCCGAGGCCAGCTTCATTCATACTGCGGTACGCCTCTTTCATTTTCTTTCTTAAGAGAGAAAGGGACGGCTAATGAAGGGTACCTGAAATGAGGTTCGGTTTTTGTCAATGAACATTTTGTCCGCGTCTTGTCCTCCGTCAACACTGTTCTCTAGGTCAGTGTAACGGGTCATTTGGACCCTGACCTATTTCAAATATTGGATAACCTTATGTAATTTGTGTTAATTAGTCAACTGATAAAGGTGTTTTGAAGAAGTTAACAGTATAGATAAGTGGTCTAAGGAGGTTGTATTGTAGATTTAATTCCCACTAACCTTATTATAACTCCCATAATAAAAAAATATTGTATCATCTATCACGCTGCTTGGATTCGGATTAAGGCGGTTTCAAACCCTATGCAAGCGGATGCGGGGAACTTACAACAGCAGCAGCCTTCCCAGACTATAATAACAAGCACACCTGCCGGCCAGCAGGTCACGGTCATACCGGCGTCAGGCAATGTACGCGCCGCGAACATAGTACAGGTATTGCGTTCGGCAATCTTCGGCGTCCGCACGAATATTCCCGAAGCGTAACCGTTATTGTTGTTCGTCATTAGTTGGTTCCGATTCCGAACGAGTTTGTTGCCGTCATCTCTAAGCCTGCGCGACATTAACTAAACGACTTTTACGTCTTTTTCAACTCTTATAAACCAGGTATTTACGCTAATATTACATAATTTGTAATGGATATCGAAAAACGTGAGTACGTTCGGTCTGTTGGGCGGATCCATATTAATAGTATTTGACAGATTGTTATGACAAATCTGAAAACAATAAGTCGTTTATCCATTCTTTTTCTAGCCTATGGATTGCCTCAATAGATGACGTATTTGTTTTTTTTTTTAATATAAACATGGAAACATAACCTCTTTGCTTGAGGGCGGCTGGAAACTCGTTCGTGATAAGTGTTAAATGTAGTTGATTTGTTGGGAGTTTTTGCATATTGTGGTGGTTATTGCAGGTGCCAGCTTTGGGCGTAGGCGGTCTCGGTGGAGCGGTTCAGCTCGTCCCAGCACTGGGTATACCTGGAGTACAACTTGCTCAGCTCCAGCAATCACAGGCTCAATCTGCTCAGCCACTAATAGGTAAGAATATACATTTTTTATGCTTAACTTTGAGTTTCATAGGTAAGTTACTCACATGTCATCGTATTGGTTACGTATTTAGAATATAAAATAATTTATTTTTCAAGTTTCCTATGTCAAAAATAAATTATTTTGACATTTTAATAATAAATCACTTGGATTATTAAATTATAATCATTTCATTGTTTTAACGATATACTTAAGTTAAGGTTTTTTGTAGTTAAATATTTAAAAATATTATATCTTTATGACGTAAAATCATTATGATCTTTTACAAATTTTCTATTTAAGTAGACAAGGGCATTTCAATAAAAGTAATGGATTTGACTTGTTAAAGGCACCGAATTAAGTCTTCGTTAGTAGTACGTGTCTTGTATAATTCTTCTTGTATTATTGATATTTCATGTTAAATTTAAATACGCTTTCGAGAAACTTGAAACTTGCAGTATTTTGATAGCATAATTTAATGGAAATTAATGTACATATTAAACATCTGAAGTTATTATTAAGTAATAGTTAGATTTTTGTTTTGTGTAATATCAACTGTGGAATATGGAATGATGCCGAAGACAGATGAAATATTCGCAATTTCTTGTTGTATTTTCTAGTGAGGTACTGCTTTTAAAATAAATTTGTATTAGAAAAAAAAATAACATGCAGCATGGCAGTAGGTAAGCTAGGGAATGTCATATTACTGATTACAATCCATTACTGCCTGTACTCCTGCCGGGGCTGTGGTATATGTAAGTAAGTAAAGTAAGGTGTAGTGTGGAACAGCCATGCTTCGGCACGAATGGGTCGGCTCGACCGAAAATACCACGGCCTCACAGAAAACCGGCGTGAAATAACTAAAGAGTTCTGTTTCGCCGTGTGATGAGGTTACCGGAGGCCCAATTCTTCCCCTACCCCAATCAATCAAAAAGTCGACAACGCACTCGTAACTCCCCCGTCGTTCGGGTGTCCATGGGCGACGCTGATTGCTTACCATCAGGTAATACGTTTGTTTGACGACCCATCACATAAAAAAAATGTCGCCTTATCCGCAACGCCGGTAAGTGGTTGACGAGTCTTAAACCAATCTATTCTGTGGGCAGGCCAGCAGATCCAGCAGGATCCGAACGAGCCGGGCAAGTGGCAGGTGGTGAGCGTGGGGGGCGCGGGGACGGCGGGCGGGGGCGGCGCGGGCAGCGCGGCCAGCACGCCGGCGCCGCCCGAGTGCGAGGCCGCCAAGCTGCGCCCCGCCAGCCCCTCCCAAAGCAAGCGACTCATGAAGCGCGTCGCCTGCACCTGCCCCAACTGCGACCAGGGAGAGAAGTCAGTATTCCTTGCCGTACAATTCAACCACTAGTTTATATGATTAAAAAAGTAATCATCAATACCTTAGAACAGTTACAAGGTACTCTAGTCTCTCTAGTAGTCATTTCTTGGACTTTTTGACCTAAGTTAACGCTCTAGTTTATAGTAGTAAATCGCCCGACATTATCCAGCTTAATTTAAATAATATAATAATGTATATATTTCTTTAAGTTGCTCAGATAGTTAATATAGGTATACTGGTTCTTAATTACATCTGGTTGTAAGATTTTAAGCTTGATTCGATATGTGGACTTTAAGAATGGTTACATATCCCCCTAGCGTCCTCCTAGCCTAACATCTAAGCGTTCTGTAATGTCTGAGATTCTAAAGAAATATGATTTAACAAATGTTCAATGGCAGTAAAGTGGATGGATGGGTATCCATCCACTTTACTGCCTTACTTAACCCTATATTGACAATATATCGGTTCGTCCGCAGTCGCCTGGTGGACCGCAAGAAGCAACATGTATGCCACATAGCGGGCTGCAACAAGGTGTACGGGAAAACCTCACACCTCCGCGCGCATCTACGCTGGCACTCCGGGGAGAGACCCTTCCTATGCAACTGGCTATTCTGCGGGAAAAGGTATGTTCTTCAACAATCTGTTTAAATCAATTACACTGCTCGATTGTCGTGGGTACGATTCCCACACAGAAAAGCCCTTTATGTGATCCATAAATTGTTTTTGCAGTCAGACATCACCTCTAGTCTACTGGAGTCACAAATCACCAAAATTATAGACCAGTACACTGAAAAATATTCATACACACACATACGTAAAATTAACACTGAAAGCAAAAGGTTAAGTGCCACCGCGATGTTAGCAAATGCAGCTGATCGCTGAGTTAAATTATTATTTTTTGTGTAAATTCTAAGTACTTATGTGGAATGTCCTATGTTTTTTTTCTATTTTTGCGTCCTGTTTCTTATTACTAATGTTTAAATTAGGTAGGTATTTAAGGTCAAAGGTTCCTATAGATTCGGAGAAAAGTGTCCGTTATATAGAGACCGACATCAGACTGATATGGCAAATCTATAAAGGGTTTAGTTTTTTGCCATTTGCCTCTCATATATACTATAATATTTTGAACTCACATATACAAACCCAATCATATGAGTCAATGTGTTAAAACTACATGTTTATAATAAAGAACACATAACGTTCTCCAGGTTTACGAGGTCGGATGAGCTACAGCGGCACCGGCGAACGCATACTGGGGAGAAGCGGTTCGAGTGCCCCGAGTGCCGCAAACGTTTCATGCGGTCTGACCATCTCGCTAAACACGTGCGCATACACACCAAGAACAGAATTACTGTAAGTTTCCTCTTCTTTATATCCTCCTCCTGGTAATTGGGAAACCTTACCCCTAACTTTTTCAAGTATTTAGGCGAACAGCGCGTCGCGTTCCGTGCGCGCCTCAAAGGACCATTAGACGAACACAGACTGGGCCTTTAGGTCCGATGTCCAGCCGGGGTTACGAGTCAAGCGCAATGAATGACATACCGTTCGAGGGGTCGTTTTTAATCAGCAAGGAGTCTAATTCTCTGACACGCCCCATCCAGGACGGGTCCATCACCGAATGGTCGCTCCATTCGGTGATATCTTCACTCAAAAAACGTTATTGGTGGTTAATCCATTCCAATTCTAATCAATCTATTAAATATTCGTATAAAAAAGTACCTACTTAATAGGTATGTTTGCTTGAGATTCTATTAAGGTGTTCAAATTTTAATGTTCCGTATCAATTTATATTGTTTTGTGTGCCTATGGTTTTGTAATTTTCTCTTCATTCCATTCCGTTATGGTAATAATTCTCGGTAACTTTTAACTTTAACAAAACATTTCTCCATTCCAGGAAGTGGCAACATCAACCCAATCAATGTACTCAGATTCGGGTGACGACAGTTGCGATGAGAAAATGATGTTAACTATAGAGACGGTCCACAATGATGGAGATGGGGAGGACAAAATGGTGCTTCGCCCCAGTCCGAAGATGGAGCCCGACCATATAGACAGCTAGGATACGAGCAGCGACGAATAGACCCGTCGCTGTAACATCTACGTCATCACTCTCGTTCAATAAACGATAAACGTGATAAACTTTACGGAAATTTAAACCTTATTTGGTCAATCCGTGACGTGGTTTTTGTGTGTGTGAAATTGTAGTCTGTGGTAGTTGCGTCCCACTGGGATTGTGTCTTAAAGGTAAGAGTCGTGCGTTTCATTCCAAGAGTTCAATTTTAAGTCCTATTGCTGGGCATGTGGACTTAATTCGTTTCAAAAGTTTTTTGGGAAAATCTGTTCGCGAGTGATTCTGTTTTATAGCTTTGCTGAGTCTTAGACTTGTCTGTCATGTTAGCAAGTGAATTTCAAATTGTTAGATCTATTTCCAAAAATAAATGTTTCTCAAAAGTTGATGTTTGTAAAGAATTGAATCTTTGAATGATATTCCATTTTGTGTAGGTTTTGTTTCAATATTCCGGGTGGAAATGAGATTATGTATCATATTATATTAAAAATAATGTAACTATTTACCTATTGTAACTATTGTTATATTATTGGGGATATTTATTGAACCTTATTGTCTTAACCGCCTAAACGAAAATATTATGAAAGCTTCCGGTGTGTTAGAAAAAGTTTTCAAACTATTTTGAATAGAAGTATGTTGTAGGTATAAATATGAATCCATTGCGCTTGTATTTATTACTTTGTGCAGATTGCATATTTATTTGGTATGCACGTATAAAATTAAAGATTCAGTACACAGACAGTAACTATTGTTTGGCTACTGAGCCAACCAATTACAAAAAAATGCTGTATCTGTGTCAAAATAGCTACTGCACTGCAATCTTTAATTTTCTAACTTACATACTAAATAACTGTAAATGTTAGTTTTTTGCAAACAAAAATGTGTCCTATTGTTTTCTCTGTATTTCAGTAGGGACACTTAACTGTCTACGGACTATTAATTTCAGATATCCTCATTTCAACTCAAAGTTAATTTTGTCTTTGACTTTAAATATGGTTACCTGAATTAATGAAAACTGAAGTTGTGTTTATCTAATAATCCAAATTCAAATTTAAAGCAAATAAGTTTCTTTTACATCCTAAATGAGGCATAAATACATGTTTAATGTGTAGATCGTGAATGTGTTGTAGAAGTATAGTTATCAACTCATAATATTTGACAGTTTTCAAAGTTCAGCTGGAAACATAACCCATGGGACACGATGAAACGTTAACGCGTGTTCATTGGTTCGATTTCAAATAATGCAGTTTAATGATTGGCTAAACTATATTTGATTTAGTGACCAATGTGCGCGTGGCGATTCGCTGCGTGTAATGTCTCCAGTTGTAATTTGTCCAATCGAAAGTCTTCTTCCAATTAATATATAGAGAACGTAGATTTTTTTGGTCATTTACAATGTATGCAGTTGTGGTTTAAATTTAATCTACTATAATCACAGAAATATCTACTTATACAACTATACACTGAAATGCTCTGAGACTAATAAAATGAAACAGCAATTAAAACTATTTGAAGGCATATCTATGCCAAAATAATTTTTATTTAAAATATGAACATGTAATTGTTTTCGTTGTTCAAAAAAGAATAATTTGTGATTATTTTTAGAGGAAATTTATGTTAAATAAATTGATCTGTGATCAAAAATTGTACAGTTTCGGTAATTGTTATTTGCTGTTTCGTTTAACGCATTGTACTTATTTGTAAATTGTAAATGTTGTGTATGTAAACATTTAATATAAATAGCGATTAAGTGTATCAAACTAGGTATATAAGGATATATTTTTGTATATAATCTACAAAGGATTAATGCCATAACAGCTTTTAAGGATCATTCCAGAAAGGGGCATTGTATGTTAAAATATTACAGAGTAATATAAAAATGGAAAACAAGTGCACTTTTGCACAAATATCGCTTTTCTGCCTGTTATCATACTTGCTTTAACAATATACTAGGTGGATACTGCATATATTTAACCCACAAAATACCTCTTCACTACCTTCAAATACATATAAACCCTTTGTGTATAATAAGTGTATGGAATGTAATTTGTATCAAATTATCTACCAAGTAATGTAAAAAGTTATATATTTGGAGGCGGTGGATATTTTGATAAGGGTGTGGAATATTTTTTGCAATTTAATCCTTTTTGGTAATAAAATAAGCAATTGTATTTATTTATTTGTTGGTGTCAGGGATTTCATGTGCTTTCAGTAAATCGTGTCATTTTTTAGATTACAGTAATAACAAATTGATTTTCAATCAAGCGGTGTTTATTTTGTTTTCATGTAATGCACACAATATTAAATTCTTTTTTTTTATGCATACATATCCGTTTTTATTTAATAGAAAGCATTCAAATTGTAGGTTTGTAGGTGGTTGATTGCAAAACCCAGTGAAAAGTAAATTATAATGGTTTCAAGTCCCTTTCCATTCTATTTAAAGTACATCTCAATAGTATCTAGTTAGTTAATTCGGCAAATGTTTGCCCTGCCAGTAAACAAAACTCGTATTTATAATACAATGGTACATGGTTGGTACTCTACCAATTTTAAGAATACAAAGTCAATAATGAAACGCAATGAAACTTTTTCTAAGATGTACCTCTCCAAAAAGGAATCTCTAGTATTATTGATGTGCACATGATTTCTAAATTATATTATATACCTATGTCCTGGGTCCAATTTCATCGCGTATGTATCTCCTTGTATATAATAAAAAATAAACTATTACTGTTCCTTTCTCTCTATTTTAAGGTGTAAATAATTTTATTGTTGAACTGGTTAAATAAAATATTTTTATAATATTCTAGATGTTTTTTTTTTTATTTTCATCGGTCTTTCCTAGTAATATATTCCTATAGGTTCTTAAACTGGTGGGCGATATGTTATATGTATAAGACTGATTTGGTTGCAATTTGAATTTTATCAGCTTGTGAACTCTACCTACAAGGGTAGCACCAAAATCTAAGAAATGGGTAGGTACAGTACGGCCGACGTATCTTGGCGAGTCTGAAGTTAGCCGTTTGTCTGCGCAATGGATATTTTAGGAACAAAATTGTGTACTGCGCAGCTAATCGGCTAACTTCAGACTCGACAAGATACGTTGACGGCACGGAGTAAAAACAAACTTTGTTCTTACTCCGTGGTTGACGGTATTGTACTAACAATTTTAAGAAGGTTGCATGAAGTTGCGTTAGTAAATTTTTTGATAGGTGCATAGTTTTTGTTAAATTTTTGGGAAAGTATAAAGTTCAAGAGGAAAATTCTAAGCACGGGCCTGCGGTCGGCGAGTAAGGGCAGCTCGCCGCCCGGCCAGAACCAGGCCCGAGCGTACGGCGCGTAGCGTTCCGCGCGCGCCTCAAAGAGCCATTCGACCACCACAGACGGGGCCCTAAAGGGCTGATGTTCAGCCGGGGTTGCGGGGTAAGCGCAATGAGGTACCGCGACCTCGGCACAGAGCAGGAGAAGGAACAGGGGGGTTTTTAGTCAGTAAGAGTCTGACACTCCCTCCTGCCCGGCCCTGGGCGGGAGAAGTCATTTGATGATTTTCCCCTCACAAAAAAAAAGAGGAAAATTCTATCTCTTATAAAAAAGTAACCTTAGCAGGGTCTGCAGACGACGAGCAAGGGTACCAGGTAATCAGACCCGAGCGTCGTTGCTTGCGTTCCGCGCGCACCTCAAAGAGCTAATAAACCACCAAAGAGGGGGCTTTATAGGGCTGATGTTTAGCCGGGATTGCGGGGTAAGCGCAATGAGGCACCACGGTCTCGAGGGAACGGGAGGTTTTTAGTCAGTAAATCTGACTCTCCCTCCCGTCCGACCCTGGGCGGGAGACGTCATTTGATGATTTTCCAATCATCAAAAAAGCAGCAATTAAAGCCATAGCTTTTGATAAAGGTGTATTACAACCAGGGACTTAGTAGGCAAGTGTGTCCGTTTGAATAGGCCGTTCCGCCCTAGCTCGAGGCGCAAGACTTTTAGGTATACCTAACTACCAAAGCGTCGCAGGATGTCATCGTGGTTGTGTCAATCGTTCGTCCCGAACATCAGTTGAAAAACTAAGCTGTTCAAATTAAAGCGTCTTGGCCACGATAAATCGCGTCGGTCGGGTCGTCGGCCGCCATTTTCCGTGTCGCTACGCGTCTAATGGCCACCATTACCTTGTCCGTGAAATCGTGATGTCGACCGCTGCCCACAAAACTTAATGCTCCATTTTTCTCTTTTTCGTCGGATAGTTATTTAGACAGCAGCATATCCGTTGGTATGTATCCGGTTACACGACACCTCGTGCTGAGCAATCTGTGTTGGAGCAATAATGGTCGATGGTTGGTGAGAGATAGTCTATTTGCGAGGGCCATTCAATACCATTAACACCTAAACATTGCATTGATTTATGCCCCATAAAGAATTCCAGCGCAATCTTTGTAACTGTCTACGTCCGATATCTTACTGAGTACTAATCGAAAGATTTCCACTAAAATTGAGGTTCGGAATTTAACAGCAATATCAGCCCCGTCTGTCACGTGTTCCTACGCAGGCATTCAATGTAGATTCTGTAGTCTCTCCTAGCAACTTGGTATCTGGGCAATTTCGCCCCTTTCTACCTTTATCTCATTACAGTCGCGTGGAAAGATGCTTATTTGATAAATTGAACAGTATGGTGCCAAGATTTACCGTTGATAGTGAATGTAAAAGCCGCGGTGCAAGAAAGCAAGACAAAGCTACGCGGTCCGCTGGCTCGCCACGCCGAGTGGCCAAGCTTCTAATGAAAGACGCGATAAATTTTAATTATATCTACCTGACTAATTACCTCGGCCGGTACACGATGCGTTGTGGTAAAAATGTTATTATGCACAGTTCGTCATAAGTCATTGACTAGTTATGCACAATTTCATCGGATATTATGCATAGCTGCCATCGTTTCATGCTCGCCGGACATACTGGTTAGCGACCGCTCAACGCTCGTTAGCTGCTCCGCTGATACTGGGCGAAACATTGAATTATTGGTAATTGTATGCTAATTCCTGTACACTTTAATCACCTTTACGTGTTTCGAATCAACTTCGTGGTAGTTTCATGAAAATCTTAATCGCTTCGATTAAGATGTTAACACAAGCAAAGTCTAATCTAAGTATTTAGAAACATTTGATACAAGAAATTAAGAAACTGCTTTCGTAAAGGATCTATTTATTTGAACAGTAAAGTAGAAAATAGAAATTTGATGGGTTAGCTCCAAATACAGTGATTTACTGTCTAAGCAAAGAATCCGTTACTCCGACCACCAGTTGTTGACTGTGAGATTACTTCCTAAGGCGCACTTTATTCAGCTAGGGAGCGTTCAACTTGGTAATTTTATTATGATGTCATTCGCGGTAATGGGCGAGCTCAGCACTCCCGGTTAGCACGCCAAACTTCTTAGAATCAGAGAAATAAGTATTCATTTGTCTCAATAAGAGATTTGCTCAAGAAATTGTTTTGAGATTTTCTTAGTACTTTAGCAGGTAGATACCTACATTTTCTCTAGAGTCGTAGCCTAGTATTTTATTATGTTATGCGCGGTAGTAAATATAGTTACTGCCTTTTTGTTGATACCTACCCAAGGTATATAAAAACGTCGACG